TAACACAAATGCTGTGGCTATGTTATTAACGGGATTATACGTAAAATTAAGTAATTTCCACCAAGACTGAATGTTCTTCTCGAATTCTGTTGCATTTTCCCAAATTACCTTTCGAATTTCCAGAGATAATATGCCTTGTTCTCCCTCCCTGACAATAGCTGCTGTCATAGATTGTATTTATAACTGAGCTTGAACACAGCTAAAGGCCAAGGTGGTACTATTCTGGGTGGCTTCTACAGCTTCAACTATGGATCTCAGGCTTTTCTCATTTAGCCCTTCCCATTGGGGTAGCACATCTGACACTAGATATTGGTTATTACCTACGGCTAAGAGTAACAATCGTAACGGGTGTTGTATTTTACTTAAATCTTGCATAATGGTGGACAACTTATTCACCAGCACCTCGGAATCTATACTGTTCAAAATTCCTAAACCCGTTCCCACAAAACCTGTTGTATCCCTTTTTCTCCTTTGAAATGTGAGAATCATTATTACCTCCACTTTCTTTAATGAACTATCATTTTCCATTTGTCCATATGCTTAACTATATAGAGGCCCACTTCATATACATAAGGTGCTGTCATTTTCTGGGGTGTAGAAGTTGACACCGTGATGGACACAGGTATAGCCGTAGTCGAAATCTTTTCCTGGGAAATGTCCAACCCAAATTTAAATGATAATGCTCTGTCTCCTTTGCCAGTGCTCCCTAAACAGACAACTGATACTGATTGAATTATAGTAAAATTGAACCAGCAAACATGAGATTCACAATGTTCCCCACCTATTGTAGGTTCTGTTCTTTGTTCAGAAAATCTTCTCATAGTCATTTGGGTTAAAGGAGAGAAATCTTTTCTACTGCTAACATTAAAGATTCTGCAACCTATGTGGATTGTTTTCCCTTTATCGACCTTCCATCTACGCATCGAATGCTTCCATTCTGATTCATGTAATTGCAATTCCCTGTTGTCATATATGATGACAGTTACTAGATTCATTCCCTCTAAATCTTTTCCCATAATTCCTGTATATCCAAAATAGGCCTTTGACCAAGGCCATTCCCAAGTATCAACTCTCATGGGTTTCAGCACAGTTACCACCCATATTATTGCAAAGATTCTTAGCTTAGCTTGGTTAGTCCATGTTAGCGTCTTTGGATGCGGAGCTTCAGGGGTCCAGTGGACGTTGTTTTCCATTGCTGCTGAGGAGCTTTCTTCACCCTTGTATGATGAATCCAGGATGTCTGCTCCTTAATCTTGACTGCTGTGTGGGATGTCAGCAGCACTTGGAACGGTCCTTCCCATTTCGGTTCTAGTGGAGAATCTAAAAGAGATCTGATATATACATAGTCACCAGGTTCAATATTATGTACAGGCCCGTCAAGACCTCAGGCTCTAGTTCCTAAGACCAGCTTCTCTACGTCTCGAAGCTGCTTCTGCAAACTTATTATATAGCTAGTTAATACCTCATCCCCAGCTTGAGTTGATGTTCCTGCCTGTACCATGTAGGGCCTCCCGTATATTATTTCGAAAGCACTTAGTCCTTCTTTGGTTCTGGGTTTGGTTCTAATTCTCAGGAGTGCTAATGGCAATGATTGGGGCCAAGACAGGTTAGCCTCCTGACCCAGTTTTACAATTTGCAGTTTAATTAGGTGGTTCATCTTTTCCACTTGACCGCTTGATTTTGGATTATATGGGGTATGTAACTGCCAATCTATTCCCAAAAGTTTACTAACTTGCTGAATGACCCTGGCAATAAAATGTGACCCTCTGTCTTATGAGATTACTGCAGGAACCCCAAATCTCGGTATTGTTTCTTGCAACAGTACCTTGGTTACTTCCCTAGCTTTATTAGTTCGACAAGGGAATGCTTCTGGCCATCCTGAAAAGGTATCCGTCAAGACTAGCAGGTATCGAAACCCCCCTTTTCTTGGCAGTTCTGAGAAATCAATTTGCCACTGCTGTCCTGGGTAATTACCTTTCCCGATCTGTCCTAGTTGGGCTTTAGGTCCCGTCTTAGGGTTACTGCGTAAACAAACCTCGCATTGTTGTGTTACCTGCTTGATAGTAGTATACAGATTTTGGGCAACTATCAGCCGATTCAAATATCTATACAGAGCCTCTGTTCCCCAGTGAGATTTTCTATGTTCTGCCATAACTACGGCCCGTAACAATGCAAATGGTATTATTATTTTACCTTGTGGAGTCTTTGCCCACCTACCTTTCTCTATTTTTCCCCCTAGGTCTTCAATTAATTTTTGATCTTCTTTAGAATACTTGGGTCACAATCAATTTGTATTTTACCGTCTGGGACTAAAGACTGTACTCCCAATTCACTCTTTTCAGCTACTCGTGTAGCCTCGCGGTCCGCCGTGGTGTTGCCCATTTCCTGAGCGGTGTCTCCTTTCTGATGAGCTTTGCAATGCATAATAGCCACTTTCTCGGGTAGCTGCACTGCTTCCAGGAGCTTAAGAATTTCTTCAGCATGTTTTATGTGTTTTCCTTGGGTAGACAAAAGTCCTCTTTCCTTCCACACAGCTCCATGAGCATGGACTACCCCAAAGGCGTATTTTGAGTCCATCCAGATATTAATTTTCTTGCCTTTAGCTAGTTCTAATGCTCGAGTTAAGGCTATTATTTCTGCCTTTTGAGCTGAGGTGTTTGGGGCAAGGGCTTTGGACTCAATTACCTGATCTGTAGTGGTTACTGCGTATCCTGCTTTGCGGACTCGTTGTCGAACGAAGCTGCTTCTGTCAGTGTACCAGGAATCTTCAGCGTCTTCCAGTGGCTCCTCTTTCAGATCAGGTCGGCTGGAATATACCGCTTCAATCATTTCCAAGCAGTCATGCGATACTGGTTCCCCTGTAGCCCCGCTGAGGAAAGATGCTGGATTGACAATGTTAGTAACCACTATTTCCACATCATCCTGTTCCACTAGGATAGCTTGGTATCTAAGAAATCTTTGTGGTGAGAGCCAGTGCCCTCCCTTCACCTCCAATACTGCTGATACAGTATGAGATACCAGTACTGTAATCTTTTGGCCTAGTGTAAATTTACGTGCTTCTTGAATGTTCAGCACTACTGCTGCTACTGCCCTCAGGTAGCTAGCCCAACCCTTGTTTACTTCATCAAGTTGTTTAGAGAAGTATGCTACCGCCCTCTGATACGGTCCCAGATTTTGGGTTAGGATTCCTAGGGCTATTCCCTGCTTTTCATGAGAGAACAGCCAGAAGGGCTTAGTAGTATCTGGCAATCCCAAAGCAGCGGCATCCATCAGCTTTTTCTTTAGCTGTTGGAATGCTTTTTCTGCTTCCTCATTCCAGATAAGGAGTTTTTTATCAGATTTTAATAATTCATACAGCGGTTTTACCAAGAGTCCGTAATTATATATCCATAGGCGACACCATCCCATCATTCCCAGGAACGTGCGGAGCTCTTTAGGTGTCTGTGGTTGAGGAGTTTGACAGATGGCCTCCTTCCTTGTTGTCCCCAGTGTTCGTTGGCCCGCAGCTATCTCCTACCCGAGGTAGGTCACTTGCTGTTGAGCTATTTGGGCTTTCTGTGGAGAAACTCGATAGCCGTTAAGTCCAAGGAAGTTTAACAAACTGATTGTCCATATTATACAAAGTTCTTTCGTTTCAGTGGCTATTAATAGATCATCTACATACTGTAATGTTGTTCCTGCTCCATGGGGTCGCTCCCACTGTTCCAAGTCTTTAGCTAATTGATTTCCAAAAAGAGTGGGGCTATTTTTAAACCCCTGTGTAACACAGTCCGGGTCAGCTGTGTCTTCCTTCCGGAGCCTGGGTTTTCCCATTCAAATGCAAACAAGAATTGGCTTTCTAAACTTACTGGGATGCAAAAGAAGGCGTCTTTCAAATCCAGGACGGTAAACCAGGCCAATTCAGGTATCAATTTAGTTAATAATGTGTATGGGTTTACCACGACAGGGTGCAGGTCTTCAACAATTTTATTGATAGCCCTGAGATCCTGTACTATTGGCTAACTACCATCCGGTTTTCTAATAGGTAAAATGGGAGTGTCATATTCTGATTCACTCTTTATTAATAACCCATATTTGATGAACCAGTCAATCACTGGTCAATTTCCTTCTCTGTCTTTCATTCTAAGAGGATATTGTCTAATCCTTACAGGTCATGTTCCTTGCTTAAGTTTGACTATTATTGGAGAGGCATTTTTCGCTTTTCCTGGTGTTTCTGTAGCCCATACTCCTGGGTATACCTAGTTCTGGACTTCCTCAGGTACTCCTGAGCCAACGGGGGTATTTATAAGGGTCAAACTCAAAACTTCAATTAGCTGGTCACTTCCCACCCAGAGTTCTACTCTCCCTTTGTCAAATCTTATTTCTGCCTTTAATTGTTCCAATAAATCTCATCTGAATAGATAGAAGAAACACAGAAAGTGTTCAGAGGAGGTACCAGAAAGCTAGTCTATGTACAAAAATCACATACAAGTATACAAGTTTATGTAATCAGTACCCAGGGCCTTCACTTCCTTCCCTGGTAAAAGGAGAGATAATTGTAAGAGGGAATGGTAAAGTGCTGAACAGAGTTTCCTGACTCGCAATTTCCCATCTGTTATGCAGCCTTCCTGTTACCCCAAAGAACTCTCTCCCTGGAACCACTTTTTGTTCCTACCCTTTCTTTCTGTACATTTTCTTTTTTCCTTTCTTTCTTTCAAGGCAACGAACTGCGATGAATATTCTTGTGCTGGTAATTTCAGTTAGGGAAAGTTCTCTTGCACTCTGACTCTAACCTTGAATTGATGATTCCTTTTGAACATGACAGTTTCCTCTTTCAAAAGGTGACACCATTACAAAGCAACCCATTGGCCCCTCTGCTTAGCCTGAATGAGAGCAGCTGACTTATTCATCAGTTTCAGACTGCTGCTGGTATTGTTAACTACTACCTTCCTTCTGAAGAGCATCTTCTTTGTCTTTTGCAACTGTAATTTTTTTAGAACACAGAATGAGTAGATCCCTGTACCAGTTTCAGTCAACAAAACTTACATGTGCTTCCTTGAGGTCAGAGTCTTCTTCTAGGTAGCTGTAATGCAGTGTGAGGGCTGGAATGATAATAAATACCAGCAAAATTGACATAATTTACTTTTGTGGATGTACACAAAAATGAGCTAATACTTCAAACATTGCAAGCATTCTTTTATAGCTGGAATGCTTCTGACATGCTTTGTTCAAAGTGTGTTCAATGATGGCTGTGATAAGACTTCTGAGAGTAGAATGACGTAATGTTCATAGGTATAATCTTTACAATAGTATTTGTTCCATGAGGTGCTTGGACTTTACTTAAGCAGACATCCTGTCTCTAGGTCAGCCTCAAACATTAGCAATTTCACAACCAGTAATCTGACTCTATAATTTGAACTGTTTAGAAATATAACTCTGTCAAGACCTTATACTGTTCTGATTTAAGGTCAAAAGTATTTCTCCACTGATTTTGCCCTTTTCTTTAAGACAGAGCTACGTATCTCTTCTGGGTGATCAGAGGTACTCTTTATTTGCTCACTATGCTAAGCTATGGAGAAAAATTGCTTCACAGAGGAGAAGGTATCCCTGGCTGTGAAAAACACTGACCTGCCAGTTAGGACTCAGAACAAGGAGGGTTAGGTCTGGTAGTATTAGACACTTCCAAAAGAAAAGAAGCTTGGGTAGATTCACAGTCATCCAGGTATGAGTTCTAAGCCTTGACCAGAACAGTCTCTAAATTAGGATATTGGCATTTGTCTGAAAGAAATGTTGTCAGGCACTGGAATAACCTCACATTGGGTAGCCACATTTGCTACTAGCTGTGTGAAGTTTTATTGTCCTTTTCATACAGTGTAATGTCAAATTTTATTCACACATATTTTCAGTTAATCCATTTATATTTGAATTAGAAGAGAAGCAGATACGTATTTCTACAAGCAGGCCTAGCAGGAAGCATAGAGAGTATGTTTTAGACCAGGGCCTGTCTCATAGACCTTTCTCTCCATCTCAGTCTTTCAGCTGAGAATGTGGGAAGAACAGCGTCAAGCTGAAACATTGTGCCTGCAACTTTCTTACCTGGAAGTGACAAATAACATCATTGTTACTGTCTGGAATTCTTGTGTGCTCAGCCTAGCACAAATAAAGCTCTAGTAACTATAGTATCAGATCTGAAGTCCACCAGCCCAATTACCTTGACTTTGTCATTAGTCAGGAAAAATTCTCAGGAAAAAAGTATAGCAAGGAAAACAAAGAGTGAGCTGCCACGAGCACTGGAGTCTTGATTATAAGTCCTACTGTACAACCTTTGGAGTGGACAAGTGATAAAACATTGCATATGATATTAAAGTTTTTAGGCACTGATGTGATAGAAAATATGTATAACAACCTGTAGCATTAATGGAAGTTTAGAGAGAGTAAATGTCATTACTTCTACAGTTACTCACTTATATGGTTTTTGCTGAGATATATACTGTTAAAAAACACTTTTCCCCTGCTCTTGTTTGCATGCCTCAGGCAAATCATAACAGTTTGTTAAAACTGCAAGCATCTGAAGCTTGGACATATGAACATAAATGAAAGAATTAGCACACAGTTCAGGAAATTCCAGGAAAGTAGTAAACCATAACTAGGGATCTACAATCAGAAAGTCCAGCTCTCCCAGTGCTTCAGAGTAGTTAGCGGTTATTATATTTCATGTTTTTCGGAAAAGCAACCTTATTCTAACAGCACCCCACCAAAAAAATTAGTTTCTTTTTTTCTCTGTTTCCTTTCATTTTCCTAAAAATCATTGATATTTTAAACACACACATACTTGTAATTTTCAGAATAGCATGTGTCCATAAAACAAATAAAATTTACTTTTAAGCTTATAGAAGTTCAACCTGATCTTTTGCTTAAGTTCGCACATTATTAAAATATGCTTACAGAGAGATTGAGGCTTTCTGATTACATTGTCACTGATCAACACCTTTCTAGTTAATGAAAAAAATCTGTGACAACTGTGTGTAAGAATGTGAAAGGATGGCACCACCAAGTCAGGCCAAAGATTTAACCTTGTGTACTTTCTCCAAGCACCAGCAGGTGCACTTACTAAGAAGTATAAGGAGACAACTATGAAGTGGTACATGCCCCACTGTATCTTTTAACCACTTGCAATAAGTAATCATCATGCTTAATAATCTTGATGCATTTTTTCCCCATTAATTCCCTTTTAACTTCATTTAAATTTTTGAGACTTAAGACACTCTAAGCATGTGAATCACGTTATGTGAAAAAAATATGCTTTTTACTTTTTATTTTTTCTCCTACAATTTTCATTGGGTGTGCATTAGTTCTTGTGTTTGAAGAAATACTGATTGTTCCTGATTCGATTCTCTGTAACCTTCTCGATTTTGCAGACCAGCATCACATCTCCCGTTTTGCTCTACTTTTTTCAAGCTATCCAATTTAATCTTAACTTAATCTTTACTTATCGTATACTTTCAGTTATCTGCCTTACCCTTCTCTATGCCTTTTGCCATTCTATTTTCTCCCTGTCCTTGGGTGAGCTTGGGATGTGGGATAATCAGAATTACATTTAGTAGTCAAGATATTGATGCATTATGGGCTAAAGAAGGATCTTTTTATTTCAGGCTACATAGAGAGCTGCTTGGTGACCCAATTTTCTTCCCACATGATTATCTCTTTACATCAGAACAAAAGAGAGAATATTAAACACATGGTAACTACAAGAGTAAGTACTTACCTAGTTTTTATCAGATCTTGTGTTTTAAAAGCATACTATCTTGTGAAATAGAGCTGAGGGCAGGAAGTTAATGAGAAATATAAAAAACAATCTGGTCTGTTTACTCAAACCCAAAATATGTATCATGAACAGAGTAATAGACACTGACTGGAATGCACCCACAAAAAAAAAGGGACTGTCTGAAGAAAGTTTTCCGCAGGGTCCATGGTAAAAAAGAATAGCAACATTCAGAAGAATCTAATTTCTTAGCTAAGGAGATATAAACTAAAGAGAGTAAAATGCCTCAGAGGAATAAAATTGACTTACAGTTGTTGCAAATCCAACTTGTGCAAACTTCCAGTGATTTCTCCTCAAGTTCCTGTCTTTCAGGAAATGCTTCTGTTTCCTCTACAAGTGCACATATGAATACATATACAATCATAAATATTATAAATACAAAAGTATATAATATTTATATAATATATTGATACAAGGTATATTATATATAATAAATTTCATATATAGTTATATTATTTTTGTATAATATTTGTTCTTTATTTACATAATGAGTATATATGTGTTCATGTATCTGCACAACATCTTGAGCCCTCTTGGCTAGCAGAGTAGATTATCAGGTAATGCTTTGCTCATAATTTATGTGAAATGTAACAGTAAAGTTACTCTG